TAAGTATTTAGTACCTTTACAGTGCTTTGCATCTTCAAAGCACTCTGCAAACATTAACTGATTAACATAACTGCGCCATCTGTTTTGATGTTTACATTTTGTGCAGGCAAAATTCCTGCTTTGCTTTATTACCTCTTGCAGGTATGTGGCTGTCATTATTATGGCCCTTTAGAGGATGGTAAAGTCAGGTCCATGCATGTCTACAGTAATATTTTGCCTTAAAACTCAAGCCAGTGCCATTGGGGCTCCCCTCTCTGACCTGGCTATGACGGTTGGGATTACTTCCCTCTGAAATTTCAGCCTCTAGTCTAGAGAAATTGTTGTTCCCATGGCTGCCGGAGGCTGCTGCCTCCAATGTTGCTTTGCTGCTGAATTTAACTGTTTTCTCCCCAACTGTGGACAGGCAGGGACACATCCAGCCATGTGGGAGCTTCTCTGCAGAATGCTCCTAGATAGGCAGCTAAAATATCGTCTTGGGCCGAAAAAGTGATAGAAACCATAAAGATAGTGAAAAGAATAGGAAACCTTTTGCTTAGCTTTTGGCAAAAGGTTGTTTTTCTCTCCTACTCCAAGAAATGTAATTTTTTTTCTTCTTTTTCCTACTTGATAATGGAGATTTTTTTGTAACTTAGGGGCTGTACTGATGAACTAGTGTTAATTTTCTGTTTCAGTTTAAATTTCTTACTAAAGATTTAAGCCAAGTCTGTTCAAAGACTGATTTAAATCAAAACACTAGTAGCACTAGCAACCATCAAAGCTGAAAAATCTTAAACCAAACACAAACCACACTCTTCTTTTATGTCTTATTTTCCTTTTCTTTCCAACTCCTTCCCATTTCAATGTTTCACAGCCTGAATGGTGTTTCAGGAAGATCGCATGATTTACAACTACCTTTATTTCCAAGTTATTGCAACTTCATTTTGCAGGAGAGCTGTAAAAGAAACAGTGCTCTACTGTCAGCAGGGAGAGACCAGCAATGTTTTGATTCAGGGAAAAATTGCAAAGACACTCAGTGAGGGAAGTGAATCGTGAGAGATGTGTAGCGAGGCAGTGCGCTGGCAGACTTTTGCGTCAGTGAAGGAGTCATCCTTTAAAATCTCAGATTAAACTCAGATTAAATTGTGCCATGCCATCTTGTGGGAATCAGCCGTGACCAAGAGGAGACGTGGTGGCTGCCGGGCGCCAGGGAAAGGCCTGCTGTAGTTGCACCTCATTTCTGGATTGCTCTACGCAGAGAGGCAGACATCACGCACGGTCCTGGAAGAAGCTCTTTCACAAACTCGATGTCTGGCATAGTTCACACCATGATTTAAGTGTGACCTCAAGGCATTTGCAGGGAATATCTTTATAAAGACTATGACGAATGTGCAAGAGACTCACATGGACAAATTTGTAGTTAATAAATCAACAAACCTGCAAAATGAGGATAAAAATATGTTGAAAGGACAGACTTGGACAGGCCTAGATGATGGGTGTGGCTTTTCTTCACACTAAATATTTTTGCAGCATTTTTTTGTTTGTTTGCATACTCGCTTCTGGTAAAGACATTTTGCTATGCTTGAAGGCTAGGATACAGCCGTGGGAACAAAGCTCTGACAAAATGGAATTCTCCTGTGTCAGGCTGAGGTATCAGAAAAGCTGATGTCAAATGCCACCAGGCTCTGACTGGAAGCCTTTATAGAAAGGTTGAATGTTTTGTAACAGATAGGCTGTGGAAGTGGCTTAGGAAAGGACTATGTCTCATGGCATCCCTGGAGTGAGGTAGTCACAATTATTCTTCTTGAACAGAACTTCTCACATGCCAGAGCAAGGCTGGAAGGAGCCAGACTCAACCATGAGCAACTGGCTCTGGGTGGCCTGGCTTGAGCAGAGGGGAGTTGGATGAGATGACGTCCAGAAGTCCCTCCTTACCTCAACCCTTCTGTGGGTCTGTGATTCAGAGCCTTTCTCCTATTCCCTCCTACAGTTTCCTCCTGACAGTTTGGTTTCTTTCATGTATATGCTGTAGTCCCTGCAGTAGGTTAGTCTGGGAAGGAAGAATAGGAATACAGAGAATTGCAGATGTTGTAATAAAGTTATGTGCAGCCAATTTTACAAGATGGAAGAGTGCCTCCTATAAACCACTGAGCATCTCAGATGGAAGGAATTACGCTGAGAACATGAAGCACTCTGTTAGACTCAGTGGACTCTGGCTTTATATAGAGAATCCCACAGCAAGCAGAGTGAATTTTGCATCTGACTAACTCAATGGAGAGGAATTCTACGCCTGTCTTCCCTATGATTGCCCTTATTAGTCCAAACATTCCCCCTCCCCAAGAACATAATAGCATTTTTATGTTCTGTAAAGGAAAATATTTCATATAATCTGTGTAGATACTTCTGTCATCTTAAATGTGTTTCTTCTAGCTTTTTACATTCTTATGGTCCTATATCTCATCTGCTTTTTTAGTCCTAGTCTTTCCTCCACCCCTAAGTTTTGGGGGAATGAAACCACAGTATCAATGTCTTCAGTTAGGGTGTAATGAGATCCCATATGGGGTGGGAAACTTTATATTTTTTGGCAATTTACAAGTAATTTTGTTTTATTCTATAAAGTAATGGTGATAAGCAATCAATGGCCTTATATCTCACATGAACAAAAAGGGAGGAGGTCTCTCTTACTGCAGCACCATGAAATTTCTGGAAGTCCATATAAGATGAAAAATATTTTCATGTAGGCACAGAGGGAAGCACTGTGCAAGCATCTAATTGCAGCACTCCCTGCTGACTGTTTTTAATGTGTTGGTTTTATTAAGCATTCTTAATAAGATGCTAGACTTTTGCTTAGGCAAAAAATATAAGAGAAACAGCAGTTTCAATTCTCAGATTACTGGAGTGCATGCAGTTGGGAAAACCTGTCTGGATGCAGCAGATGAAGTGAATTTGTTCCATCTGTGAAAAATAATAATAAATTGGTTTTGTGGTCCTGCATTGCCTGACTTGCCTTTTGTGTGTGTATGAGTGTAGGCGCTTGTACGTATGGCTCTGTTACATCTTGAAGTTTTGGTTTCATGTGTTATAGTATGCATTGCATATGAAGGATAACGTTTGCATGACAAATTGCAGACCCATATGGCATGGTGTTTTAACATCCTGTACTTTTAGGTATTTTCAAGGAACTGTGTCTGAGGAGGTGAAGAGAGGAATCTGCTGGTGACTTCTCCCTACAAGTGACTTGTCTTCAAAATGCTTCTGTCAAATAAAAGTGGTCATGGTTCAGTCCTAAATCAGAATGCAATATAAAAATGACATAATTTTATATATTGATATATGGTAGCCATATGTAATTTGGTTCTATGATTCTATGATTTATCCCACTAAAGAAATTCATAGCTTTGCAGAGAAAGAGGCAGTGTTTCATCTAGTATGGAAGAATCCAGATTTACAAGTCTTTAGTGACGTGCCATTTCTGGTTGGGTTTAAGATACTGCATATCATGATTAGCCATCTCAGCAGCTCCTCTTAAGCTCTTCACAGTTACAGCCTGACTCTGACCAGGTCTGTGGTAACCTGTGGGCTTTACTAAGGATAGGAACTAGTAATGAAATTAATGCTCTTTAGTGCTTGGCTCAAATAGTTTTTAGGGACATGAATGAAGCAAGGTGTAGTACTATACAGATTTATCAGCTTTCACTTTAAATTACTTCTAAAATGCATTCCTGGCTTTGTCTTCATAATTAATGCTTCCATCCCCACTCGTGGCTCAGAAACCTTTATATTTGGGTACATGATGACTTACTTGTTCTGCACAAATCTCATGGTTCAGTTCTCACAACAGGCTAAATATTTTGCTTAAGGTAATTACCTGACTTCAAAGGAACTTTCATAGAAAAGTAATAATATCAAAAAGAGCCTATATGCTATAAATAGGGTATAAAATTCCACATTAAAGATGTGTGTATATTACAGGAATCTTCAGAGCAGTGTGAAATATAATTAGGGCCTTCTACGGAGCCATAAAATTCTCAGTAATATGTGCTAATCTTGTTTGCTTGGAATGAGGTGGGAATATACCTATCAAGACATCTTTTGAAATATTTGAATTCTTTACATCTGAACTCCCAGTCATACTTGTCTGACTTGATCTTTTCTTCCTTGTCATTTTTCTGTCCTGAAAGGTTTATTTGTGAATAAGCTTTCTCCTCTGCACGGGCAAAATCAGAAGCTGAACTTTCAGTAGGACAATTAGAATTTTAGTGAGATGTAAAGTGCTTTTTAAGAAAAGAGGAAGAAGAAGTAACATGAATAAGTTCATGTGTGATCATGTGCTCTTCACAGTGTGTGTTGATTGCCTTAGCAGTCCTGTTGTAGTTGAAGGCAAGTCAGGTCCTTCAATGTTGGGCCATTGCTGTTAAGGCCTGTTGTTTGCAGCATCTCATTCTTCCTACAAATAGAAGTCTATTAGCTAGAAAAGAATATTTCTAATTAACATACAGCTTTTCTGAGGAAAATGTGCTTTATTAATGTCCTCATTTCCCTTTTCTTTCCTCACCTCACAACTAAAGTATTTGTCCAGAATACATCTACAGGGATAATGGTTTTAATGGAAAGTATTGATTGGGTGCATAAGGGTTAGTACAGGAATTACTGGAGGAATGGTCTGCTCCCAGTGCTGGCTGTGCAAGCAGCTTGAGAATAAGGCAAAGAATTGCTTTTGTCCGGAACAGGAAAATTTCTGGTCTTTGGTCTCTGGAATTTAAAGCAGCGCTTTTGCTTGGAAGGTATTGTTGCAATTAACATTGTACAGATGGACAAACTCAGAGAAGGACCGGTGACTGAATCAGCAAATTACCGATGTAGGGAGGAAGGGACCAAGCTGTCCTGTCCCTGCAGTTGCCTGCTGGACCGATGGCTGCCCTGTCTGATTCAGCTGCCTGAACAGTTTGGAGCAGCACTGCTTTGGGTATGGTTATGTATTGAGACTTCAAAATGTAGTCACTTGGCAGAATACTGGGTTTGTAAACTTGCTGTTGTTTTAGTGGGAGCAAGGGAAACAGAGTTTGGGAGGAACTGGTATGTACATGACAATTAAAAACAGAAGTTTACACCTGTCTTGTGATTTATTACAGTACTTGTAGTAATCTAGAGCGAAACCAAAGCCAAGTTACCTGAATTACTGTTTTACATTAGTTCCCAGTTCATTTTAATCTTTATACTTCTGGGCAGACTTTTGCTCTTCTGGTAGGGTGTAAGAAGTTCTGAAATGCTCCTCAAGCAGTGCTTGCCACCGCCAGTTGCCATTGGTAGTCATCTTTGTATCTTGCTGCTAAAATAAAATCAAAGTCAAAATACACTCACTATTTTCCTAATAATATGTTCTCTCTAGGTAGTAGTTCCAGGTGGCAGTAGCACTACCTGTAGCTGAGAAGGAGAGTGGCCTCACTTCAGTTGTGCCTCTGTTATGGCAAAGCTCTATAAAATATTTTTCTATTGGGAAAAAAAATCTAATGATCTGCCATGTTCACTGTAAAAATTTCCGGAAATCTGGAAACTTCCAGGAGGAAAGCAGGCTGATTTCTTCCCAGCATGCTTGCAGGCAGTGCAGTGAAGTCTGGGGACCTGCATTTGCAGGGCTCTCCAGTATCTTGCTTGGGTATCTCCCTTGGGAAGCTGCATTGGACCAGGACAGCTCAGAAGCTTGGGGGTCTGCAGCACTTCTGGGGCACCCCAGAAGCCTTGAAAGCTAGCCAAGGGAGGTGATTAAGGAAACCCAGCTTCTCCATACTCAACCTTCTTTGAAGTCAAGAAAGCCAATTTATTTTGAAAACTCCAAACAGGACCCCTGTCATGAACAGTTTTGTTTACAGAAACTTACTCTTAGTACCACCAAAAATCAAGTTTTTCAAATTTGGGATGAGTCAAAAAAGCTCTCTGTGTGTGCATGTTTGTTTTGGGAGGATTTTTTAAAAAAATTTTTAAAATAGAAACTTGGATTCTGGAACTGAATGGATCTGGACTGAATTTTTTGATGAGGAAGGTGCATCCACACTTATTATGTGATGTCATAAGACACTATTTTCAGATTACCCCTTATTCCAGTGACTAGACATATGAATTTAATATAGGATCATTATTTTAGCATAAAAAATTTTCCTTTAATCTGGTGTCTGCAAGCTTAAGGTGCAGAGGGACCTTTGCAAATAAATTGTTCATATTGTTTAACTGAAGGAAAATAGGATGGTTGGGACCATTCAGGACATGTGTGCTTTCAAGTTCCTCCTAAATTTTTTCCTTCTGACTTAACAGAACAAAATCAGGAAAAAAAAGTAATAGGTTGATACCATGCAGACATAATAAATTATGTTTAATTTAGATGGGTTCTTCTATCTCTGCATCACCATTGCATTGTTTACTTGGGAAAGAAGACACAGCAATAAACAAACAAACAAACACAAAGACTTATGGCTAGTGACCGCCGGTGTATCACTTAGCAACATCAATATTTTTGTGCACAAATAAAGGTCTCCTGCACAGTGCCTGCTGCCAGTATGTGTGTGTGTGTGTGTTGTGTGTGTGTGCGTGTGTGTGCCTCTGTAGCACTGACCTTGTATGCAGAGAGATCAGTTTGTCAGTGATTGGTCACTCCTTAATTTGGATGTCTAGACATTTCAGTCCGCACGAGCGAAAGGCAGACATCTAAAGACGTGAGAAGAGATTCTAAGGGATACTAGGACCTTAAAATAATTCCCCGGCAAACTGCAAATGTATTTTGTTCATTTTAAAAATATATGGTGTAAGTGATTGAATGGAACACATGACTGAAGGCTTTATTTTTTATTATCACTATTAATTAATATGCTGCTTCGATGTTTTCATGGCTGTGATATAAATAGATAAAGCTTCCTTAAAGGTTATCGGCAAGTGCAAGAGAGTTAATGTTATGATTGGTCTGCTGGCTGGTAATATGTTTTCTTTATTTGCTGAGAACCAGAATCCAGAATATTTAGAAAAAAATTAACTATGTTTAAATGAACTGCCAAATCTTAATTTATAATGTTAAAACTATAGTCAGGAAGGTCCTCTCTGAGAATGTCCAGCTGAATAGAAAATTATTGTCCACCATCTGCATTTTATTCAAAACCTCTCTACGTGCAAGTGAATGTGTTTATATCCACATGTAAAAAGGGCTCAGTTCTGCCGAATGTTGAAAGACCTCAATTCCCACTGATGCCACTGGGCATTTGAGTGCTTCTAGGGCATTAGCCCTATATTTGCGAAACAGTGTCAGGCAGATACATTTACAATGGCCCGAATTTTCAGATGCACTTTAAATATATGTACAAATGGGGGCAAATGATCACCTAGTTATCATATGCATGGATGGTTGTCTTTGGGATATTGGATATTTGTATGATGAATTTGGTACAAAAAGTTTAAATTTAGAAAGCCTTTTCTATTACCTGAAGAATATTTTACTGGAATAACGAGATCTAGAATGTGATGGAGCTTGAAGGAGCCATTAGTGTCTTTTGGAGATCTGTTTTAGTTTTCTTTGGTTTTAATCCTTTCAGTCATAAATCCCAGAAAACAGCAACTGGTGCAACCAGCATGCAGAAGCAGGCCCTCTGCAGCACTGCAGCAACAAATTATTTTGAAAATAAAGTGATGCAGTTTGATTTCAGTACTGGTATTCTCTGTCCAGTATCAGAGTATTCCCATGTGGGAATAGGTGTAGCGGCGTCACAGAGAAACTTCTATTCCACTATAGGTGTGTCTGTATTACAGGCTGTGCTGGTGTGAACGGTTTAGGTAAGAATCACACCTGTAACTGAACCAAGTGTTTTGGTGCAGAAACAACAGACCAGATCTCAGAGCTAGTTTGTACTGGGAAGATTCACAGTACAGTGTTAGCGGAGTGGTTACCTAGCTGTACCTCTAGGGATGTGACACTCACACCCCACCTTCCCTCCCCCTCAAATCTGTGAGAGCAGTTCATTTCAGCAAAAGAGTCAATTTATTTTCAGGTAAGTCTTAGCTTTAATTCTGTGAGGAAATTGCACCTTTATAATAACTTCAGGTTGTCTCTCCTACAAGATTTCCCTGTTCTTTTCTAGTTTGTTTTTTCCTAATGTTAGGCTCAAATACTAATAGCAAACTGCATTACCTTCTGATTTCTGTATCAGATATAAAGAACTGCCTCCCCTGGGCAAACATTCCTAGATTCGTGTGGATGTGGAGGCAGAGAAAAAACCCACACAGACATGTGATGGCAAAGCACTAACACTGGCAGGTCTCTTGATGTACAAGTATTGTCTCATCTGGTATATCTGTCCCATTCTTAGAGGCAGGCCACAATTACTGTATATTCCTTCACCTCTCTCTTTAGCAAACATTTTCTCTATGCCACTAATTAACATACATCCATACTCTAAACCTTGTTGAACTTGCACTGCTGATGAAGCTTCTCCTGGAGCATATTTAAATGTGCCAGGAGGGCATTTAAAAACAGGGAAGAAAGTGAGGGTTTTTTTTGTTTTAGAAAACTCTCTTAAAGCACTCTTACAGAGCAAATTGTACTTTAAAAATCATTAATTAGGTAAAATAAACAGCAGTGGGGTTTTCCATCACTGACTTGCCCTTCTTATGTACTAGTGTGTTAAAATGTTTTATTTGCAGTATTGCCTGCTATTTCTTGTGCTTTTATTGCATATTCCACAGTTTTCTGCAGCATTCAACTCTGAGATGCTCATAATTATCTGAGAAGCTTACCTGACTTGTTAACACATAGTAGCAAGAAAATTATTACAAAAAAACCCTCAATGAGACGTTATGGAAAGAGAAGGCGATATCTGCTTTAAAAAAACCTGATTTTCATGTCCCACACTTGTTCTCTTATTATTTTCATTCCCACTCACAACCCCCATGCTTTTAAGAAGGGGGTTAAGAGATGTGTGCCCAAGCAGCGATCTGGCCAGGATCAGCTGTCTCCCTGGAGGACACCCACCAACTTCTCACCATGTTGCTTGACTTCTGCATCTGCGATGCCCTATTTTTGATGTAGGTCTTCTCTCTCCTTTGGCAGTCAAGCATATTATTATGGTGTGTCCTTTCGCTTGTGAGTCTTGCTTACCTAAGCCTAGATGGATCTTAGATTGCGGGCTGTTTCCTGGGTTTGCCTGCTGTGGGTGTCTTTATGGCTACAGTCATCTTCCCTGTTGGATGAACAGGAAGAGAAGTGGCGCATACAGCATGATGCAACCTCACTGCCATCCTCCTCCTGTCAGGGCACAGGTCTTCTGCTAATCCGTGCTGTGGGCTTCCTAGGGCACAAACTTCCTGGTCCTGATGCAAACACCACATTCCCCAGTGCTTACCTGTTTGTTTGTTGTCAATGTGTCCATGGTTATCAAAATGTTTCAGGTTTTTTCTTAACTTTGCTCTATTGCCCTTCCTGTTGCTTTTACTGATAGTCATTTCTGTCCATACATTCTTCAGACCAGTCTTAATAGTTCTGCTAGAAATGGTACAAAACAGAAAAAACAACATTCTAATGGGGAGTATTTGAAACTATGACTTAAAGAAGTGCAAATCAAGGTATCAGTTGAAATATAAATTGTACCTAGTGGTTTTGTAACGTCATGATTTTATGTCTGACTGTCATTTGGGTTTGGCATATCTATAATTTGGGTTGCCAGTATTACAGCTAAAACAAGCCAACTAGGACATTTTAAAACACTACATTTTCTTGTAGTCTAGACATATTGTCGCAGACAGTCCAGCCACAGCTAAGGGTCTCTGTAGGCCTAACACAATTCAGATGCTGCTACTTTTCGGTCAATCTTAGGGCTCACTGGCCCTGAACACAGTATATGAAGATTACTCTTTTATTGGCCAGATTGGCAAAACTGAGTGGCTGCTGCCTTGTGCAGTCACTTTGCTCCCATTCCTGTGCTGCCTTCCGTGGTTTTGCTAGCTTACCTTTTTTCTGATCCCGTTCACTATGTGGCTGCTCATAGGTTTCTACTGCTACAACAGAATGAGTACAGCAAGATAGGGAATACCTGGAAGCTGTTCATCAGTCTGTCCTGGGACTTTCTTATCTATGTCCCTGGGTGCATTACATCAAGAAGGAAGTACTGAATAAGTACAGAGCACCCGTAATGCAATATCCTAATATTCAGGAGCTTCCATTAAGGTCACTTGTTTCTGAATCTTTGGAGGTATATCGCTAGGAATTATCCTGTCCTCTGAGATGCTAGTGCTGAAATATGAACTGACAGAAATGTGAATAAATTGTATTTTTTGGATGCCCTCCATGGTTTCATGTATGTGACTGGACATACTATTTAGCTTGGTTAACCTGGGCATGTAACTGAGCAGTTCTATAACTGGTCAGCTTTAGCATTTGTGCGTTCCATTTGTTAAAATTATATTTTATGCTAGCAGACGCTTGCCTAACTTTTGCATTCATTTAGTAAATATACAGTGTGTTGCCATATCATGTCCTTTGACAAGGTATTACCCAAATGAGCTCCAAAGAATTGTTTTAATTCCAATTCCTCCCTATTTTTTTTTTTTTAATTCTTGTCTGTAGTGTTCCCAGCAGTGCAGTAGCCAGGATTCGATTTCTGTCAGAAATGATACTGCTTCAGTCTCGTCTCTGTAAGTCTCCGCAGGGAGGTTAGAGGGTGGTTATCCTCCGGCTGGTCTGGACCTGGTCCAGCATTCAATGAGAATGCAAATCCCCTTGAAAGCAGATACCTTCTCTGCAGCGATACTGCCTTTATGTGCTTCAGGAAGCTTATGATAAGTTAATATTTACATCAAAATACTGTTATTTTTTAAAGGTACCCAATCTGTTGCACTCTGAAAGCTTAATAAATGTGCCTAATTCTTTTTTTTCTCCTTTTCAACAAGACAAAAAAAAAGGAGTATATGTAACAGGACTTAGGGCCTTGCCACAGCAGTGTAGATTATTGTTACTGCTTTGTTGGAACAGAAGTTTGATTGTCAAGGCTTTTGCTACAGTTCAGCACATTAATTTTGTGATGTGAGGATTCCACATCTTCCTTGTTTTTTAAGGTACAGTGTGGCAGGATGAGCTTAAGCAAGCTGGGCTTTGTTGCGCATCCTCACTGTCCGGGTACAGAGGCTTTGGCCAGGAGGCTCGATTTGAACAGGCGGAGTGGCTTTTGGAGCAGATGCAGTGCTAAATTGCAGGAGTGAGGACAGAAAGCCCAAAGCCAGTTTTGTGGCCCAAGATGCCTACCCCCTCCTTTTGTAAGAGGGCTGGCGAGCCATGTGTGCCACGCAGGGCCAGCTGCTGTGGGATGGAGTGTGGGCTGTGGGGCAAAATGCGCTGCCAACTCCGGGGACGGCCAGGGCAGCGCGGGTGGGATGCCAGATCCCCGATCCCCTCTCTGCCGGCAGCGCTGTCACGGGAAATGTTCCTGCCCATGCAGAAAAGTCTTTTCACTCATCCGCAGCCAAGCACACTGCCCTTAAAGCGGCCGTAAATCAGCCGCTCTCTCCCGGATTCAAGTTTTATCTTGCTGGGGCCGTTCAGAAATAACCCGTGCGCGGTTGCGGAGCGGTGGTTCGCCGGGCACAGCTATTTCCGTGCGCGGCGGCCAGCGGGGCTGGCGGGCATCGAGGGGCGGCTATAAACACCCGGGGCTCGCACCTCCCCGCGCACCAGCCCCTCTGTTGATCGCTCTGTTGTCACTCCCTTAGCGACCGTCGCCACGTCGCGCCTTCGCGTCCTGCCGGGCACCCCCCTCCCCCGCGGCTTCCCGGCTCCCCGAGGCCGGCTGTCATGTTTCCAGAAAAAGCCAGCCCCGGCGGGGGCCGGGCCGGGGCTGCGGGACCCGCGGCCGGCAGGTGTCCCCGGCGCCGGCCCGGGAGCGGCTCTCGCCACCGCGGGGCTCCCGCGCCCCTGCCCCCGAGGGCTCCCGCCCTCCCCATCCAGCCGGGAAGAAATAAAGCAGTTTTCCGGGTTCAGGGAAAGAGGTGGGGAGGGCTGAACCATCACCTGCTGGCGATAAATAAACATAAGTCAAATTCCCCATAGGGTTTAATAAATTAATTAGTAATTTGATTAAAGCGTAGATATTTTATAGGGCCTCTAGTGGTCTAGTGGTTAGGGTGCAGGACTCTCACCGCTGCGACCCGGGTTCGATTCCCAGCCCCCCGGGCAGATGGAGCTCGTCAGCCCTGTAAGGCAATCCATCTAAGAGAAGGTCACTCTAAACAAACCTACGTCCTGTGAGACCCTCACTGCCACTGTCCAAGCTTGCTCGGCCCCGGCAGATGAACCTCAGGATTAAAGGGTGGGCTCAGTTCAGCGCATGCTGTGTCTCACCTAAAAAAATCCACTGCGCAGGCTCGAAGGGTTAATGACCTTTCCCAAATCTTCGCTCGTGAAGACTGGCCATTATTATTATTAGATATTTTATAACTGTTTAGTCCCTTTCTTTACACGCCACCCACCCCCCCCACCGAAGCCTTCCAGCCACCTCCTCAAAGCTGCCTAAACTGACAACCTTCTCCCCCACCGGGAGAACTTGGGGGGAAATAGTAGAGAAGGTCCCCAGCTGTGGAGCCTGCAGTGAGGACCCAGTATCACCAACCATTTTCCATCAGCAGGAGGCCGACATCCTGTAATCCAAACGGGAGGCTAAAGAGGAGGGGGCAGATGGCACCTATCTGAAATGCCGCTGATACCTATCCTAGCTTGCCAGATTTTCTTCACTCCTTGTCTGCTGGCATCATGTTTCACCATTTCAGTCCCTGTTCAGCATGGTGTGTTCCTGCTCAACGAGTTGCCTGCAGCACCTTCTCATCCCTTCCAAGAGCTGAGCCTCTTCATGCAGGTATCCCTTCTCTCGGTGGTCCCCCAGACACCCCTCCCCAGCTAAAAGCCCCTCTGCAGTGCTTGCCAACACACCTGGGGCTCAGCTGGTGGTCCCAGCTAAATTTCTTATCATTTACCACAGTGGCTGTTTTCTTCTTGATAAACCCTTCCCACCTGCAGAACAGATTTTTCACTTCACTGAGACGTATCTCTGATAGGCTGCATTTTAAAATGTGACTGCTAATATATTAAATTTAGCCAGATTTTTAGGATTTTTTCTCTTTTAATGTTTTTGTGTAGACAGAGGATCTCTGTCTACTCAATTTAAAAAATGTGAACTGGTCTTTCCCTGATCCATTGTTTGATTTTGAAAGATTTTGACTTTTGTAACTGTGCAGAAGATGTCACCTCAGTGAACCTCAGCTCAGCAGTAAAGTCTCTATGGCCTAGTTTTTGGAAATTATGAGGATCCACTGATTCCTGAGTAGTCAACGGGAAACAGAGTGATGTGCATCTTTGAAAAGCAACCTTGTGCCATAGAAAAATTATTATTTAAAAAAAAAGTGTACATATATGAATATGAGAGTGATAGGGTACATTGCTGTGACTGTGCCTCAAGCTAGCTGAGAGGCTCAGAAGGTTAGAGGCACCATAAAAGTTACACAGAGTCGATGTCATCCCTGTGAGAATTTCAGTGGCACTTACTATGAAGGGGCACCTGAGTTCCAGGAGAGATTTAGTTTTTGGGTTTTAACTCTTAGCTATTATTAAAAACTAGAACAATATTTTAAATCTGTTTTTTTTTTCTTTTTTAACAGGAGGGGGAGGGCTTTAGCAACTCTTCTTATTGTGTGTATTGATGTAATCTCCAGAGAGGTTACCAAGGTTAGATTTTTGAACAAGACAGTTCTGTAGATATGTCATTACATATTCAGAAAATGCGAATATTCAACATTTTTGAATGCTGAGAACTTCTGAAAATGTGTCTCACTGTATGAAATTACTGTGTCATTAAAAAAAAAAAAAGGTGGCAGTCCATGTAGCTCAGAAGATAAAATGGTGTTCTGCATGGCTTGGGAGTAAGGACAGTCAAACAGTGAGTGTTGTATAGTGAAGGCAAGGGATGTGTCATGCTTATGGCTTCTCCAGAAGTCAGACTTTTACCACCATTTAGACACAGCCTTTTTTTTTCTCTTGGCTTTGCCACTTGCTTTCAGCTGGTGCTCAGGACAGTGGGTTCATCTTGCTGTGCCTATTTGTCAACTTACCCTTTGTCTGTATCATCCACCGAAACTTTAATTAATCATGGCTGCACAATATGTGTGGGCTGCATGTGGCACTGCAGGGACTCGTGGGTGCTGTGCTGCCACGTGCAGTGGTGTCAGTGTGGGGGTTTCCTTTCTTTGATACCACTGAATTGGAAGAACTTCTTCAGCTCTGTGTGTGTCTGTGTGCGTTCTGTATATGCAAAGAGTGATTATAATAGTCACCTTATCTCACAGCTAAAGGACTGCATCAGAAAACTGTTAGAGGGTGGGTTATTGGCACCAAACATTTTCTGTCAGTTTGCAGTTCTTCAGTCTGAAAACTCAGCCAGTTTATGCTCTGCTTGATTAGATATACATCCAAGATATTTTCTCTGTTGTTAAGAAC